AATAATTCTTTTATTCTTTAAAAGTTTAGTTCTTTTATTCTTTTATGTTAGAGTTTAGTTGAGGCGCGGCTCCTTTCTGTTTGGAGGTTGTAAATACACACTTGGATCCTTTACTTGAAAGACAGCTGGCTGTGGAGAGCCTTCTGCCAACTGGAGTTTTAGATGCTTTTCAAATTTCACCATCCGAAGTTATTTTTCTCTTTTCTCAAGCACCGCATGGTGCTTAGAAATCCACAGAGGTCAGAGTCTTAAGCAACCTACAGTGCCACCACCACCCCAAGTTTCCCGCTAGTTGGAATAATGAGCCTGATGTATTTTAAAACGTGGTTAGTGTATAGGAGAATGGCATTGTTGGGAAGAATAAATGATTTGACGATATGGAAATTAGTAACTTTCAACATTTTTGAGAAGAAAAACAATGATCCTTTTAGACGCGGGCTTTCAGATTTCAAACAGGACCAGTTTCTCGGTGGAGAAGTCTTTTGAAGATTCATAGAATTTAAACGGTTCTCTTCTGGGCCTTAGGGTTCCTGAGCCTTCATTCGTCCACTCCGTAGTCAAGTAGTGCTTGCTTCCCACCTCCCTTTAACCAGACAGAATGCCTCACTTTCACACTTTTGTCTTTTATATATATTCTGGGCCTTTTCCAAAGATTATTTCTGTAGTTAGAGATGAAGAAACTTGAGACTTGGAAGATAGATAGTGAACAGTTTTACCCCCTATTTTTAAATCTTAGATACTGTTTTTATTGGTTTAATGTCTGCCTTACCACATAATAGTTTGAAGCACAAACCACATCATCCTCCCGGTGTTAGCAGTTCTTTCCTGGGGTTTTTATGTTTGTTTTGTTTTGCATTGTTGGGCATAGATCTGATCCAGGGCCTCTGGCCTGGTGCAAGAGTTACACTGTTGGCCCACGGTCTCATTTGTCTACCTTGTATATATCTGATTAACATTCAACTGTGTTGGAATGACTGCCTTTGACCTGGAAGCTTACAGCTTTGCAATTAAAGCGAACTACATGTGTAAGTTGCTTCAAACATTTTTAGTTAATATTAAACACATCTGGGAAGTAATTATGATGGTGGTATGAAATATTAAGACGGATAACATTCCACATTAGTTACCTTAATATGTGTTTGAGAAATAGTATAATTGGCTACTGGAAGCGTCAAGTTGCTTCTTGCAGGGTTTGTATCTCTATTTTCACATGGACTGGATGACTATATTTCAGTATGAAGGGCTGAAGAGATGAACTATAATTATAGTATAACCTGTTGGAAGGAACGCTGCTCTGCTGAAATTATGTAGGATTGGCTGTGCTCCGAAATATTTGTGTTCATGGACACGTCCTCTAACCTCTGGAGTCTCCGTTCTGAGTCAGGGAAGCGGAGGGGTAGGTTGTGTCGTCACATGTCCACTTAGTGAATTTTTTGTTCTCTTGGCATTCTGTGGCAGTTACACATACCTTTAATGAGTACATGCCTGATACGTGCCAGCCACTTAGATATTTCAGCCTTCTGAAGCTTATTTTTCTTTCTGGCTATGATCCATTGAAGAGAACATGAAGTTTGGGGTTGTGATTTAGGAAACTTCCCGTGGTGGCCCTCACTGGTCTTTCTCTTGCCATTGGGAAGCCTGGAAAAGAACTCTTGGGAGAGAGAGAAGGATGGACATCCTATGTCCTATGGAGACAGCATGTTTGAAGAAGTTGGGATCCTCAGTAATTGGATATGATGGGCATTATAAGAATATATATATATATATATATATATATATATACACACACACACACATATATGGTGTGTGTGTGTATATATTTTTGTTGGTTCAAGCTGAGTGTTGTTGATTTTGCCTTATTAAACTTTTGTTTGGAGATTTTTGTGATTTAATCCCCCCGAGTGTATAGCAACCTCATTTGTCACCTGGTAAATATTGCTAAGTGGTTACTAAATGCCTTCATCTTTTTAATTTTTTTTTAGACCACACCTTGACTTTTTACTGTATGACCAATTGTATTGCTGATTGTGTTTTCACCGAAATTGTTTACCTTATAATTTTAAACTAAAGACTGGATTATCCTAAGGTACAAAATAATTCTGATATTAATTTGAGTTTTTTCCTTCAAATGATCATCTGTTGTCTGAGTTATAACCTTGAATACTTTTTATCATTAATTAAATCAGAAGACTGTCTTAAACAAAAAACAGCTTAAGCAGAATTTTGTTAAGAGTTAACACAAAAAGAAAAAAAATGTCTTGGCCGTTTGACACACATAGGGATGGACTTTGGGAGAGGGGAAATAGACGATATGAGGTAATTAGGAAAATATTTCTTTGTATGTGTTGTCACGTTTGTCCTGTCTTTAGATAGCAAAAATATTTTAAAAATCAGTTGCCTAAAGAATTATGTTGCTGTTTTTAGCAGGATGTATTTATTTTCTGGCACTTTATTTAGCCATTCTCATAAAAGAAGTTTGGATTAATGTATAGCAAAAGAAAGGGTGATTATAGTCTTTCATGCTTTAAGCTGTCTAATGTTTAATGTCCTCAATATTATTTAAGTTACATTTTTATAAATGTATTCTTGTTTTGTTTTTTGAGGCGGGAGTCTCACTATGTAGCCTTGGTTGGCCTGGAACTCACTGTGCAGACCAGGTTGATCTGAAACTCACAGAGGTCCGTCCACCTGACTCTCGTCTCCCCAGTGCTGGGAATAAAGGCCTGTGCCACCACATCTGGATACAAGTAACAATTTTATATTCCATTATGTTTCCATAATGACTTTAACCTTTACATTACCTATCTATATGCTACCAACACTCTTAACTCCCCCACCCCCGCTAGAGAAAGTATTGAGTGAGATGAGCTCATATACCTTTACCTAAAATGTAGTAAGACTTGACAATTCTTATAAGCAACTGAGAAATGTAAATTTATATACATTGATAAATTAGACTGTGGTGTCTCTGGTTAAGAACATTTACTGCTCTTGCAGCAGAGAACTGAGATTTGGTTCTTGGCACCAACATGACTGCTCATAATCATCAGTAATTCCACTTCCAGGGAATCTGATGCCTTCTGGCCTCCCTCCACCAGCTGTAGTATGCAGATACACGTGAAGGCAAAGCATTCACATACATAAAATAAAAATAAGTAATTGGACTGTAGATACCCCCCCCCCCCACACCAGGGTTTCTCTGTGTAGCCTTGGCTATCCTAGAACTTTCTCAGTAGACCAGTCTGGCCCTGAGCTCACAGAGTTGTTGTTTTGTGGGGTTTTTTTTTTGGTTTTGTTGAGACGGTTTCTCTGTAGCTTTGGAACTTGTCCTGGAACTAGCTCTTATAGCCCAGGCTGGCCTTGAACTCACAGAGATCCACCTGCCTCTGCCTCCCGAGTGCTGGTAGTATTAAAGGCGTGCACCACCACCACCCAGCTTGAACTCACTGAGATTAATAGTGTGTTTTAATGGAGATGTTTTAAGCTTTCTTTGAGTGAGTGATGAGTTTTCATAATTTTTAGGTTTTTTGTTGTTGTTGTTGTTGTTTTGGTTTTGGTTTTTTGAGACCGGGTTTTTCTGTGTAACAACAGCTCTGACTGTCCTAGAACTTGCTTGGTAGACCAGACTGGACTCAAACTCATAGAGATCCACTTCTGCTCCCTGTGCCTTCTGAGTGTTGGGATGCACCACCTTGTCTGGCTGAGTTTATTTTTTATTTTTATTTATTTATTTATTTTTGAGACAGGATTTCTTTGTAGGTTTGGAGCCTATTCTGGAATTAACTCTTGTAGACCAGGCTGACCTCGGACTCACAGAGATCTGCCTGCTTCCGAGTTTTATTTCGAACCTATTGATTCAAGTATGTGTAGTATAATATTTAAGATTTGAATTTTGTGGCAGATAATGATTTGGAAATCACGAAACTAAGGTTCTTTGATAAATAGCAGAAAGTAAATAATGAAAACTATACTTTCCTGAAAGTGGTGGTGCATAGCTGTAATCCCAGCACTAGGGAGACAGAGACCAGCCTGATCTACAGAAAGAGTTCCAGGACAGCCAAGGCTACACAGAGAAACCCTGTTTCAAAAAACCCTACACTTTATTGATCATTTATGTGTGTCAAGCTAACAGTTCTCTAAAATACATGATGGTAACTCCTCTTGTTTTGTTCTGAGATAGGGTTTTTCTACATGGCCATAGCTGTCCTAGAGCTTACTAGGTAGATCTCATGGAGATCATCCACTTGCCTCACCTCCCAAGTGCAGGGATTAAAGGTGTGCACCGTCACCACCCAACTAGAATTCCATTTTTTAAGTTGGCATACATGCAGGTTTTAAGCTGGGCATAGTGGTGGACACCTAGCACTTAGGAGACTGAGGCAGGAGATACACAAGTTGGAGGTCAACCTAAACTAGTCAGTAGTAAGTTCTGGGCTAGAACGAATCTTTCCCTTACCCCCAACAAACACACACATACATACAACATATACACAAAGACAAAATAGTAGATTTCCTTGTGGTTCTTATTGGTCCCCTTCCACAAAAACCTCCTTTCTCCTTGTTGGATACTT